GGAGGAACAAAAGTTATTTGTCAAAGATAAATCTAAAGAAGTTAAATTAGATTTCCATGGTTAACTTATCAGTAAAATTAGCGTATAAACTCGCAACACTCAGAACCATCACCAAAGACCAAAAAGAAATTCATCCTACCATACATCAGAAACATCTCTGAAATAACGGCTAGAATAATGAAACCGTTTGATATAGATGTAGCACACAAACCAGCTGAATCGCTTAATTCCATCTTATACAAACCAAAAGATCCGATAGAAAAGGGAGATAAAATTAACACCACTTACAAAATAAATTGTATGAACTGTAACAAGCATTACATCGGCCAAAGTAGGCGTCCCCTTCGAATAAGAATCCAGGAACACAAATCAGCCGTGAAAAGACATGATATATATTCTTTAGTATCAATGCATATAGACAATAATGGACATAAGTTTGATCGGGATAATGTGAAAATCTTAGACAGATGAAACACCAAAAGTGCCAGGGAATTCCTAAAAGCCTAGTACTCAAACGAAAATACAATTAATAAACACTTTATTATAGACGAAATATACCAACTAATAAAAAGTAAATCAGGTGACCAGAAAGTTTAAAATCCAAGTCAATAGAAAATGGTCAATATATATATGTAAAGATGGTTACCGGGAGACTCATGAAGAAATTTAAATCATTTCACTTTATCCTAAATACTGCGCTGAAGATGTCGTCCAGAAAGACGATAGCGTCGGTGGCACAGTGGTTAGGACTCTCGCCGACCATGCGCATGGTCCGGGGTTCGAGCCCACGCCGACGCACACGTGATATCTATGGTCGGCCTGCGAATTTTGGGCTACCGATATCCACGCTGAAAATTCCACACTCGTCCCAAAAATACAGTGTGGAATCAAGCTGTAATCAAAAATAAAAAAAATAAATAAAAAAAAATAAAATAAATAAAAAAAATAAAAGCTCCGCAATTAAACCAAGGATCTCAGAGAACACTATCAGTTGCAAAACTCAGATTATTCGACCGGTTATTTGCTATGCCCAACTTTCAGCGGAATGGATGTCACATAATTTCCCGTCGGACATCATGACCCTCCTTTTACTGGTCGACCTTCTCCTATAGCTTTTAATCATACTAAATTTACAAGGAGGGGAGCTACTTTTTAGTTTTTAGGAAGATTATTAGTAGAGCATCAAGACAGTATGAGAAGATCTCCGGCTCTCATATTGTCTCAACCTTAGTTTCCATTTCACCTCCAATCATCACCCTTTTTCCTTTCCTTTCTATTGTGAATCGAACATAAGGTTGGTAGCTGTGAAGTCTCAATAGCGGTTGTGTTTCTTCTACACAACTGAGGTCTCTAGCCTCATGAACAACTTCTCCTACTTTCATGACTCTTACTACTAGACGTGGTTTCGAGGTGCATTGTCTGTCCAGGAGTCGAATGCCGACTTCCTGAGAAAAGCTGATAGACACTTCACCAGTAGTGACCTATCAACGTATATAATTATCAGTCATCGTCGGTGGCACAGTGGTTAGGACTCTCGCCAACCATGCACATGGTCCGGCGTTCGATCCCCTGCCGACACACACCTGATATCAATGGTTGGTCTGCAAAATTTGAGCTACCGATATCACATGCTGAAAATTCCATAATTGTACCAAAAAGTACTGTGTGGAATCAAGCTGTAATCAAAAAAATCTATTGCATCATTATCAGTCTTGTAGGCTTTATGTGTGTTTTATCTAATCACTATTATAAGATGTGTGTTATGTATTAGTGAACCTAAATTATATTAGGCGGCAACCTGATCAATACTTGGATGATTTAAACTGTTCACTTCCAGGGAGAAAATTAGTTTACACCTCCAGTTGAACAGAAAAATAACCATCTCACTATGTCTAACCAGCACCGTTAGTTGATGTGATTTGTCTGTTTTAAAATAATATCGATAAAAGAAGAGAACACGAAGTTCAGCAAAGATGTCTTTTCGGCGATTTCATTCTCAAAAGCTGTACAATCGCATTTATATAGATTATTTTAACATGGATAGAATTATTATTTGTTTAATTTCACATAGTAACGAAGGTGATAATAATTTTCAACTTGATATGATAGTTTGAAGGTACGAATATAGATTACAAGAGGCTTAGAGACAAGATTTCATAGGATTAGAAAATAGTTACAACGTATGCAAAAAATTAATATTTGATAACTGAAGAAATAATTTTAAAGGCGAATCGAAGGTGATAATTATTTTCGACTTGATATGAATTACAAGAGGTTTAGTTTCCATGCTCATTTTGTTCACACCTGTAGTTCGTCCTATCCCTGCGTTTCTAAACCTCTTGTAATTCATATCAAGTCGAAAATAATTATCACCTTCGATTCGCCTTTAAAATTATTTCTTCAGTTATCAAATATTAATTTTTTGCATACGTTGTAACTATTTTCTAATCCTATGAAATCTTGTCTCTAAGCCTCTTGTAATCTATATTCGTACCTTCAAACTATCATATCAAGTTGAAAATTATTATCACCTTCGTTACTGTGTGAAATTAAACAAATAATAATTCTATCCATGTTAAAATAATCTATATAAATGCGATTGTACAGCTTTTGAGAATGAAATCGCCGAAAAGATATCTTTGCTGAACTTCGTGTTCTCTTCTTTTTAAAATAATATCTCTTCCTATCTATTTACTAATAGGTAGAACATAATCATTTATACTATGTATATGATCATCACAGGGTAGATTGATCGCATATTGATTGATCTGAAATATTTTAAATATTTTATTTTTATCAAGGAAATCATGTAGTGGTATTTCACCCTAGACAATGGACTTTATTTACAAAAGATGGTGTGTTCTCTGATGTATTTTCTGCTATCTAATGCCTAGAATTGATTTCTTTTACATAAATACCTTTCCTATAGATTGATGGCTTTTAAGCTGTATTTATTAACAATATATATATATAAACAATTAACTACCATTGCTACTATCTAATCACACTTATTTACTTACATACTTATTTCCACCCCCGTCCCCTTCTCTCCCTTACTTTTAAACATATTAGTTCTGATAATTTATTAAACGGAAAATGTGACAATACTGGAATAAAGACTACTGCATCTACTGCACAGGTATCTGTTGCAGCAGTAGCTAAGTCACTAGTTCTACCCGGATCTAAACAACAGCTGCCGACTATACAAGATTCAAATATGCCGTCGAATGAACCACTACTTATTCGTAAACTGTCTGTTCCGCCGATTCCAAATCACACGGCATCAGTATACCTACGTAGAGGACATAGCTTAAATAAACCGAAAGTCAATGATACATATAATAAAGATGAACATAGTGATAAAGCGACGACACCGACGACAACAACAATGGCAATAGGTACTACTTCTGATGGATACATGATCAAAGAGTCTGTTAGTGATGAAGATTTGAATCATGCGAGTTATCGATATTCTGTGAATACACTAACTGATCCTGTTGCATCATCAAGGTAGAATATTATTACTAGTTGTGATGCAAGTGCATGCATCGTGTTAGCCTGAGTATCTATCCATAAGTTAGCATGTCATTTTGCATGTGTATACAGCCTGACTGCCTGCCTCCTTGCGCATATACTTGCTGAACAGTATTCATTATTCAGTTGTTTTTTCTTGAAAGCTTACCTACTGCATCGAAATGGTTTGACATTTTTTTATGAAAGAGCTGATCGACTGTTTCGTCTTACTTTCAGACTCTTCAGCAGCGAGTACCCGCGAGAACACTAGGGATTGAACCCAGGATCTTCAGGTTAAGAGGAGGATCTACTGACTACACAGCCAGTGGGTCAGAATTGAATGGTTCGAGAATTTTTACTTCTGTTGATTCTTGACATATAGCTACCGCCAACCAATACCATCTATGAGCATCCAAGTTCAATCCCTGGTGCAGGGGTGACGGGCGCACACTGATGAAGAATCGTAAACTAGGATATCAACTTTGGGGATGCTAGCTAATTACAGAAGATTTCTGCGTTTCAGATATATAGTGAGAGAGAAATGGTGAATTATTAAGTATTGGTTTTTTAAGGATTTTGTTTGACTGGTTGGAGGATTTCTACATGAGCTGACATCAGCTACAGAACCATTGGAAAACCAGCTGGGAGTACTGGACAGCTGTTTCGCCAGCCTAGTTTGGAACTCTTCATCAATGCGTGCCCACTGAGGTTCCAGCCCAGTACCTTCTGATTGCAAGGTGAGCTCGTAGACCAATAAGCCACTGGGACCCGATCCAATGGCCAGCCCATGAATTCTAATTTCTGCCAATTCACGACATAGAGCGGCGACTTCACACTGTGACCAGTGGGGTACAGCAAGTTGACAATGAAACAGTAACTCATGGTGAAGTCGTTGCTCTATGTCATGAATTGGCAGAATTTAGAATTCATGGGTTGGTTATTGGGTCGGTTCCCAGTGGCTTAATGGTCTACGAGCTAGCTCGCTGGCCTTGTAACCAGAAGGTCCTGGGTTCGTACACAGCTGTGCGGGTGCTTACTGATGGAGAGTCCCAAACTAGGACGAAACAGCTTTCCAGTACTCCCTGCAGGTTTTCCAATGGCTCTCTAACTGATGTCATTTCATGATGAATTCCTCTAACCAATTAAACGAAATCGCTACAAAACGAATACTTGAAAAGATGAATTGTTTGTTAAGTCTTCTAACTGTGAAATTCGAGAAAATGAGATTCCCACTATGGTAGCATCTATTAGTTTCACTTTGACTTATATATTTGCACGTTCCTTTCCTATGAATTCCCGGTATTCTTCGTTTTTCGCCTTTTTTGAAGCAAATGATACAACTTGTTGAGAGTTTTGGTGTTTACAACAAACAAAGATGAAAATTGGCATGAAAGTGATGAAATTGCCCGCCTGTTCTTTCTCTCTCTCTCTGTCTCTTAGATTCTCACACTCTTGCTATTTCTTTCCTTTCTTTTTATTCCATCTAGTTCGCTGTCGGTTATTTCAGCAGATAGTCCTGAAGAAGAAGGCGAAGGTTCATCAGCTGCTTCAGATTCATTAGTTTGTAGTCAAATGATTGATGGTCAGTCAGCTGGACAACAGAGTATGTCATTAATGAATAAACAAATGTATCACCACCAGCAACAACAACAACAACAAGCACAACAGTTTAGACAACAACCAATTACAGATCAATCTATGAGCTTGAATCAACAAGCAATGTATCAACGAGATTATGAACAACAACAACATCAACAACAACTTCATCAGCACCATCACCAACAACAACATCAACAGCAGCAGTTACAATTTGCCCATGGAACAAGACCTCATCTACAAATGAATTCTATGCCTATGTATCATCAACCTGCAAATCTTTATCAACAACAACAACATCGTCTACGTACATTAGGACCAAGAAATCAAGTCTATAGCAGCATGACTGATAGTTATCACTTACACCACCACCAACAACAACAACACCAGCAGCAGCAAATGAATGCAATGACTCGATTAGATCCAACACAATCATTTTTCTCGCCAACACCATCACCAACACCGAGTAAAAAGAAGTCGCGTATGCTATCAGGGACATTTGGTCGACTATTTAAACGTAATCAGTCAGGCGGTAGTAGTGTGAGTGGCAGCGGTGCCAGTGGTGTTGTTAGTGGACCATTCGATGTTGTAGCACAACATCAGCAGAATTATTATCCTGTACCGAATCATATGAATCAATCATTCAGAGGTGCATCAGCTTCACCTGTACGTATTGGTTCGCCTATGATGCATACACCATTGACAACCACAACAACAACTAATAATAGTAATATCGGTATTAATAATACTAATAATAATGTACGTTATTCTATGCAACACCAACAACAACAGTCTATGAGTCCACAACCAATGCTTGGACAAGGAATTCAACCTCCACCCTTACCACCTGGACAATATCATCCATCGATATCGAATCAAGCACAAATGATGCAACAACAACAACAGCAACAAATGTATCAGTTTAGACAACGACAGCAAGGATTAGAATATGGTACGTATTGTGTGTTTGTCTCAGTTCTGTTGTCTTAACTAAGTAATTAATTGATTAAATTAGAACTGAACTACCTGCTACATGTTTTGCATGTACTAGACTATGTATGAGCCATACTTGTTGTGTGTGGGCTGGTTATGTTACCGGCGAAGTTCAACAATAGCGTCCAAAGGGATGCGAACGCTTGAGTGGCCTTCAGCCGACCAATCAGAAAAATGAGGGATTTTTGGACGAAAAATTATCTATATTTAAATAAAATAAGCATGAAAAAAGACATTAAACAGGTTATTATTCTCTGATATGAGTTGAAAATATATCCCAATTAAAATGGAGAGTGTTGGTTTTTAAGTTAAACCAATTTCTACACATATATATTCATCCAGGTGACTAAAAATTACTTGGTTTTGAGAGTCATTTATTGCTCTTATCCTATTTTTTTCAATCTACCCCAGAAACCCTCTATTGAATTAGTATGAGTTACTGTTTTGGGGTCTAATGGTTAACTCGGTTGTGTATATATCCTTAATCCGATAATCGGTTTTATCCTGCCCATTCATCCGTGTGGATGGTAGTACCAGGCTAAACGAGTCTTTGAATAATAGGCAGAAGAATGTCAGCACTCCTATGTGGAATAAATTCAATCAAACAATCCCTCCTGAATTTGGGTGTCACAAATTCCCATTACTCGAACTTTGTTAGCTGTAGCACGACCACATTTGATAATCCACCATTTGCCCACACTGTTTCGTCGATGTGAACGATAACACCGACTCTTCCCAACACTTGTATAATATTATTCATTTTCCATGAGACCGGACTTCAAAATCCAGTAATGTCAAAGAGACAGTATATTCGTTTAAGAAAGTTCCTAGATCACAATTAACTGAGAGTGTCACTTACCAGTACGAACACTCGTTCATTTTCCAACACTTTCTACATCTAAATATATATCCATCAATAACTTGTGAATACGGTTGCAGACTCATTGAAGCACCGCAACTAAATATGCGAGTATTTCCTATCAATCCATTATCCAGACAGTATCTAAGAGTGTGTTCCAGGTGAAATTTTCGCCTGAGCTCATGAACAGCGTTCATTTTTGCGCTAGAATAATCGTAGGTTTCTTTAGCCAACCACTAGCAAACATTCAAGGTCATTTGTGCGTTCGTACTCTCGGGACGCTATTGTTGAACTTCGCCATGTTGCCTATTCGGCAACAGACCAAAGCAGGTGGAGAAAGTTTCGAACCCTCTGGTAATCGAGGGCATAAGTCGATAATCACTGTGTTGCTATTCCATTGGATTCCAAGTAGACGCAGGAAGTCAGCAGAACATTACGATTTTACTCAGTTCTCTGCAGTCTTTTTCATCTGGCTCCATGATTCCCCATAAACTTTCATTTCCGCTTCACATGGTCGCATATATGTCACCTTGGAGACGAACGTGCAAGTCGTCTTTTCCCAATTGGGTTCCACTCGAGGGTCTAGTACGTGATATCTCTCAGTGTTTCTCCTCAGCGTATGTCCAGTCCGTCTCCACCTTTTTCGGCATATTTTTGAGCGATAGTTGGTTAGTTGCTAGAGTTGCTTCTTGCTTATCCTTCCCAGCCACCTGGCTGTCTTATCTTCAGTATAGAATGAAGCCAACTGTTGACAAGAGTCTAAAGTAGTCTGTTAGAAATGCTTTCGGTGACGCTGCATGCCTCTGAACCATATAGAGGCAGTGACTTGACACTAGTGTTAAAATTACGAATGTTGTTGCTTGTGCAGAAGATAATATATTTCCTTACTGATTCCAGAGTAGTGAAAGTCTGTCTTCCTTTTCCGATCCTGCTTGGCTTTGACATCCATATCTGTGCCGCATGTAGTTGAAACGACGCTGCCTAGATAAGTGAAAAACATCTGAAGTACATGTTAGACTAAAAAAACTTAAAAAAAAAACACAAATTCATACAGTATGAATTGAAGTGCAATTAATGAGTTTAAAGTCTGTAATGCTTGTCTGGCTACTTTGAAGTAATGGAAAAGATTTGTAGCTCAAGCGAATGTTTTTGGTACTGTCATATTCTCTGAGTTATACGGTTTAATTGTGAAGATTTCATTGTCCTTCTTGACTACCTTTGTTGCTTTAACTTCATTGTGAGGTGAATGATGTAACTGTCTTCCCTGTGAGATCGGTCGTCCTCAAAAGTTATATTATCCTTATGTTGCCATTGATCTTGTGTTTCACCTATTGGTTAAGGGACTTGATCTATATTAATTGATAAATTCGATATCTGTCGAGTAAAGATTGATCTGTTTACTAGGTTTTGTGGGAATTCTATAGCATTCTGAGAGTTTCTGGTTCAAATTTCGACAATTCCTAGTGAAATTGGTGTGTGTAGTTACCTAGATGTATTAATATGAAGGAATACATATCATGTGTTTTGACGGCCAGTTCTTGATCTTGGAGACTAAGTCGAAGGAGACATCTACTTTTGCCACTGTAGTGTTATTGATGATTGGTACAGTGTTGATCTTGTCTTCTGTTGGATCTCTTGGCTTTCATCAGCATGGTGAATGAAATGATTGTATTGGTTTGTGTAATGTCAATGCTTTCAGTTCCATAGTAGTGATTTCAAAAATATTTGCTTCACAGATGATAGAAAGAGTTTTCCTAGGATGACATTTTGGTAGTCGTTTGATCTATGTATAGACATCCTCTAATAAGCTTGCGAGGGTATCCATTTTGAAGATAGTCAAGTGATATTTCTCCTCTGTTCTTCTAAAGACTTGGGTGCTATCTTAAGGCACAGTAGATCGAACACGATTCAAACTAATAGACTGTTGTTTAACAGAAGAATTTCCAGATCAGTTGAGTCGCAATTCTACATGTTTCTGTACACTAGATCAATGTATTGATTAACTTCATTATGTGTTTATTACAGATATATGAGAATGTGAGTTACTTGGTTGTACTGCATACGTATTTTATAATAATTCAGAACATTTGATTGGACATTAATATCTAGTGTGTTGTGTCTAGTCCTTTCTTTGGTGCAGACTGAATTCTACCAGTCAGGTTTGCAATGTGGCCACCATGGTAGGTAGCTCACCATCACGGTGCACATTGGTTTGATGATATTACATGGTTGAAGGCAATCGGCAGGAAGCCTTGGACCTAGTGTCTAATCAAAGCATCCACCACAGTCCTACAGGAGGTCAATTGCGAGCCCGAATAGCTCAGTGGTAACGTCTCTGACTGCAGCACTCACTGGGTGATGCGGGTTTGAATCTCAGAAGGGACATGAGTTCCTTCAAGGTTCCAGATAAGCCTTGGTGACTGGTGAGTGACAACTAGCTAGCACGAAATCTAGGTCAAGCAAGGCTTCCTGCAGCCGATTGCCTCCAACCATCTAAGTTTCAAAACACGTCTGACTTATTTTTGCTACCTTTTCCAGATGATATCCTGAACTTATCAGGTCTTCTTAAATCCTTGAATTGGTGATGTACACTGCCACTGTCTCTAATCTTTAAGAAATTGTTTAGGTTTTCACTACAAAAGCCATTTTCATCTGAAAGCATAACAGATACTTTACCTATGATATCATAGGATTGGTAAATCGAAAATGATGGATTTCAGTTTATATTGTGTCAAAATGATCGTAGATACCATAAGAATAAACCGTTTTAGACTGAATTCTTGAGAGTGTTTGAGGTTAGATTGTTTTGGAACGTAACAAAACATAACAGAAACGTTGTTTAGCGTCTTTTCTCTTCTTATTGTTCAGTTTATCATTAACCCCACGACTTCTCATAGGCTTTCATCTCCTCCTCACATGATCTGTACGTCACCCTTAGACTTCCAACTAGTCGTTTCCCATTCTACGACCGCCCGAGGGCCTGGTGCGCGGTATTACTCAACAGTCTCCTCTAGGTGCGTCCGATCCATCTCCACCTTATTTGGAATATTTCTTGATCAACAGATTCTTGACTGGTTCGTTCTCAGAGTTAGTTGTTGATAATTCTTTCTGACCATCTGATCCTCAGTATGCGGTCAGTGAAGGAAGCTGTTGATAAAATCTACAGTCGACTGTTGTAAATGTTTCTAGTGGCACTGGCGCCAAATTTCTTATCCATATAGAAGAACTGACTGACTCGGCAATGGTGTTGAAAATCCGAATCTTGTAGTTTCCAAAATGATTTCAGAGTGGTGGAAGTCCGTCTTGCCTTTCCGATTCCCTTTTGACATCCTCATCCATGTTGTCGCCATTAGTTAAAATGACGCTACCTCAATTAAGGCAAGGAAGTGAGGTCTTTCAAATTTCTTCTGTTGAAAGTGGTTGGTGCTTTTTGTCGTTGTTGTTGTTGGTTAGTTGGTCAGCTTCATCACTTCCGTCCTTTCTGTGTTCAATTGAAATCCTGTCGTCGTCACTTCTTCTGGAAACTTGTTGGTTTTTGCATCTAAGTCTTCGAGTTTGTATGACATTAGACATATATCGTCCGCGGAGTCCAGATCTTCTGGGGTTTTCTTATCGGTCGAACGTATTCATGTCTTCTCGCTCCCCATACACGATGTTCCGCGTAATTCATTCCACCACAATTAGGATTGTCATCAGCGGTAGTAATGAAATAATAATCGATAATATATCATTTGAAGAAATATTGTTCAATATGAAACATGCTACAATCCATCACAATAATTCTCCTCCAATTTCTTCGAAATTTTATAACAGTAGACAGTATAAAATCTATTTTAAAATGTCTATGGTTAACACATTGTGCTTCAAGGACGTGATTCAGTGATTAAAGCAACATAAAGTACAGTAAATGTCATACATTTTGATATATGGAAAATTAGATAACCGAATGATTTAATTAGACGACATGAGTTTTAGCTATTCACTTCGGTGGACAGTATTGTTCGTCATCACCTGAAGTTAGGACTTTAGGTGAACATAGAGAAAACAGAGGTAGGTGATGAAGATTCCTAGCCAACAGCAACGGCAACAACAACAGACAACAATCAGCTTAAATGCGAGGAATCTAAAAGAAGAAACCTCCTTTACTTACCTGAGAAGCACCGTTTTAACTACAGGTGGACGGAACTGATGAGGATATCAAAGTGAAGATCGGGAAAGTAAGGCAAGCTTTTATTACTCTCAAGTTTGTGTGGAGATCAACAGCACTCAGCATGAAAAATAAGATCCGGATTTTCCACTCCAATGTGAAGTCAGTGCTACTTACTATACGGATCAAAGACTTGGCACCACGTCACGAGTGGCACTTCGAACAAACTACAGACCTTCATCAACACCTGTCTTCACTCAATACTCAAGATCAGATGGCCAGCCAGAACGGATCAGCAAGAGGGAGGGATCTCTGGGAACGAACCAACCCAGCAGGAACCAATGGTGCAAGAAATATGCAGGAAGAAATGGAAGTGGGATTAGCCATTCTCTTTAAGCTCGAGTGGAACCCCAATGGAAAGCGTCGAGTTGGTCGTCAGTACGAGGGTGACATGGAGTGGAGGAGGTGATGTGAAGAGGATATGAAAGCATGTGAGCAGACGTGAAGCCAGGTAAAAATGTTGGTGGAGAACCTAATACAATGGGACGTACGGCTGAAGCCCTATGTTCCCCTAGGAATTAAAGGGAACAATAATAGTAATATCTAGACTCATTGAACTGATCAAGTATCGTCAGCAGAACACTTCGGAAACTAGATTAAGAAATCATTTTGAGCAGTGTGCTTTGTATAGATGCTTTGAAGTGAAGAGTTGTGAAATATTTATTTGGACAATGCTTTTATGCGTGTTGCCACAATATTCTCAACTTTAATGAAGTCTTGTCACTGAATACTATAGTCAGTAGTGTTTTTCACAGGAACTTATAACTATTGCAATAATGGCAAATCAATTCATTTAGAATAACATTTTGAAATATTAAACCATGCTTGTTTGATTATGTTTCAAGCTTATCAAGTGTCGTAAACTTTTATGTCATCTAAATCCATCAATACTAGATGAAGGTTTTCTCTTTAAATTTTTCACAGATGACGGAAATGTTGGATCAAATGTTATCACTGGTGGATCTGTATCCCCACTTTCCTCATCCACTATATCAGGTGGTTTATCTGAGTCGACTGTTCCTTCAAGTGCTAGAATAATGAGTCCCAACCCTATGCAGCCTATGACTATGAGCGGTGGTGTTGGTGTAAGTCAACCGCCGCCTTCTACCCTTCCACCACAAGTTCCTGAAGAACGTAGACGTTGGAAGAAAGAAGAATTGTTGGAACAAGCTATGATGGCTAGATTACCATTTGCACAATGGAATGGTCCTACAGTTGTAGCATGGTTAGAAGTATGTGCTATGCTTTTTCTAAACATTTTCTGTGCAGATGAATTATCCAAAGTTTTTCATAGGGTCCCAGTGGCTTAATGGTCTACAAGCTAGCTCGCTGGCCTTGTAACCAGAAGGTCCTGGGTTCGAACCTGGCGTGGAGGTGCCTACCGCTGGAGAGTCCCAAACTAGGACGAAACAGCTTTCCAGTACTCCCTGCAGGTTTTCTGGTGATTCTCTAACTGATGTCAGCAGTGAAATACGAATTAAACATATGTAGACTGATATTAAATGTTCAAAAAATTTATGGTTCTGAATAACGGAAGAAACAGCGATTAAAACGTTGAAAATAAAGGTATATACTACTGGTTAATATGAGTAGTTTTAGGAATCACTCACTTTTAAATTGTTGACCAGGTTGAAGTGATATAATCACGGTTTCGCTCTTTTGGGGTGCATTCATCAGCTTGGCTTAGATCAGAGAGGTGAATCAGTTCAAATCACCCAAATCCTAGTTAGCTGTTTAAGTGAACTGGTAACACTTATCATCGATACACAATATGTGCGATCGGTTTGATACTATAAACAGCAATCAAGAAGCAAGCATAATTTCATGACGACGTAATTTCACATCTCCAACTATGGTATTCGCAAATAACCAACTCCATTCCACTGACAGTAATGTTCAAAGTTTTCACAATGATTTTATTTAGCAGCATCAATTATCGGTTTTTTAATAATGTTGTTGTCAAAATGTGATTGCGGAAATTCCCAATTTCGGCCATGTGTAGTTGTCACGCAGGTAAATGATGATCAGACTTTTTGCCTTAATAGTAGTATATTATATTTTTTTGATTCTTTGACTTCCGAATGGAGTATAGATTCTTAATAGGACACTAACATTCCACTGGGTTCTCTGTTTTCACCTTGGCTAACCCTATTGCCATTCAGAAGCCTTCATTTCCTCTTCGCTACATCTTCCTCGGACCTTTGTCTAACTTGTTGCTTCCTATTCGGGTTCCACTCGAAGGCCTTCCCAGCGTATGTTGCTACGAATTTCATCCCAGGGGCTTCCGTGCTGATTTCTGTTCGCTAGTCCTGGGACAGAATGAAAAAAAGCGGAGAGGTGGTCAGCCCATGATGTGGCGTCATGAGACGAAGGATATTTGTGGTAGTTTAGCATCGGTTGGTGCTTTGCCACTCCCTGGTTGAAGTTCTAGAGGCAGCTCGAATTGGTGGTTTGAAACGTTATCGGATATAGCCAAAAATTACAATCAATGGTAAGCATGCTGCTGGCGAATGCTGTCTGGTCTCGTTAAATATAAATGCTTTCTTGTCAGATGAAATCCTTCATTTATACTCTTTTCATATGTTATTTTATTATTGTTATTATTGGGTGGCGCATCTTCTTAGTGCCATACTGCACCAGATTTTGCGTTTTAAATAAGTTAGTAAACAGCGGATGTTCAACGCATCTCCATTTCCTTCTGCATATTTGTTGAGTTATAGGTTGGTGGGTGGTTAGCTGCCTTTCAGAGTTCCCTGTTGCTTATCCTCTCTAGCCGACCGTCTGATCTTTATTATCGAGACATTAAAGGCATATTTTGATGGAAATCTGCATTACAATTGGTGGATGGTGACTAGCAGTAGAATCCACCAGGATGCGCATTTCGTCCTAGTTGGGACTCGTCATCTGGATGTACCTGCATTTCTCAGTGAGTGATGATGTTCCCACCGAGGCTCGAACCCAGTACCCATAGTTTCAAACGCCAAAGCGTTATCCACTAGACCACTTGGGCCACGAGAGCCACCTCTTTTGCAATGGGTCATATTGATTTAATTTAATTTCAGATTTTCCCGTCGATTGATTGGACCGAAGTGCTTGGTCTCAAGCTGACATGTCGGCTTCTTGTGCAGATGCTTCGACGATGTCTGGGCAATAATTAGAATTTTAATTGGTGGATGGTGACTAGCAGTGGATCTGCATTAGTCCATTGGATATGCTTTTGATGCATCCATATGCTAAGTTTCTGGAGTATACAGAAGAAGCACTGACTTGACACCGGTGTTAAAATCTCCAATCTTGTTCTGTCTTGCTTTTCCGACCCTGATTTTTACATCTTCAGTCGCTTATAGTTGAAACAAAATACTGCCCATTTAGATGAAGGAGATAACTTCTTTTATATTTCTCCTATTGGATGATGGTGTTTGCCGTTTGATATAAGTATAAAACTTGGGCACTGTGGTACAGTATAATTCCATTATGGATATGGACTTGATCTGATTATGAGCAGCAATAAATTGTGCTCGAAACGTCATCAGCTAATATTGTAGCGACAGAAGGCAAGAGTCAGGTAGCAGATCGTTTATTAAGGAAATCAATACATATTTATAGGTTTTCATGTACATATTATAAAACATTGTTAGCACAAAAACGCAGTCCTCTGATTGGTTGTTTCTCACAGAAAGTTAACCTTGAATCTCTTTGTGACTGTATCTTGAATGTCAGATCATCTATATGCTAATTGTATCCGCCTACGCAATACCTTTGTTCTCATTTTTCTCACGACCAATATTGGGGACATAAACATTGACGTAAATTACCGTCCCCAATCTGACTTGCGGCCAGCTCTCACCACAATATTACCGTACAACACTGTATGATTTATCAAAATAAAATCTTATCCATAATGGAGTGTTTGGCGTTTGTTGTACTGTTGATATGTCTCCATCACCTGCTCCTCACTTCTCTGCTCCCTGAAATTCGATCTTTTTCCCTTGTTCCTGTATAATTCTTCGTCTGATGAATAGTATTACTACATTATAGAGTTAGTGTAGTTATATAATCATAGTTCATATGCCATTAAGTAATCCGATTTCAAACATTCATAAATGTTCGATGTTTATGAGTTTTTTTTGTAAATTAAAAGCAAGTTTTTATTCACTACACACACACACACACATACGTTACTTGTTAACCTTATTCTGTTTTCGATTTTGTTATTTTTTAATACATTTGCCCTACATTTCTTCTCTGTTATTCCGTTTTTATTGTTGTTTTTGTTGTGTGTTGTGTTTATTGTAATATTCTAACCTCCTGTCTTGTTATTGCTTACACTAGTTATGGGTTAGTATGCCAGCCTGGTATGTAGCTGCGTGTAGAGCAAATGTTAAATCAGGTGCAATTATGGCATCATTATCAGAACAAGAAATACAACGAGAAATTGGCATTAGTAATCCTTTGCATAGGCTAAAACTACGCTTAGCTATACAAGAAATGGTGGCTTTAACTTCACCAACACCAGTTCCTAAGCCAAGTACAAGGTGAGTATAATGTTCTATGTATTGTACATATATATATTATATATATATATATATATATTACCTCTAGTTCCGAGTGGAACATAGGGCTTCAACAACACATCGCCACTTCGTCCTATCTTCTGCCGTCCTCTTCAGCTTGAACTACGGCTGCCTACATTCTCTCATCTCCTCCATGTCACTCTCTCACTGACGACCCACTCGTCGCTTCCCATTGCGATTCCACTTGAGCGATGGCCTGCATTGCGCGCAATTTTACTTGAAGACCTCCTAAATGTATGCCCGATCCATCTCCATTTGCTCCTAAATATTTGTTGAGCGATCGGTTCTTGGTCAGTTTGTCCCCAGCCAGAATTTCTTGTTGCTATTATTTTTCTGGTCAGCCAGCCGGGCATTTGATCTTCAGTATGGAGTCAGTCAGCCAGCGAAGTGGGTAGCTGTTGATGAAAGTTTGCAACCTGTTTGAAATCTTTTTGTAACACGCCAAGTTTCTGATCCGTATAGAAGGACCGACTTGACATTGGTGTTGAAAATCCGAATTTTGTTCCTTATGTTGAGTCAGTGCAGAAGATTTCTAAATTGATTTTGGGTTGATGAAGGCGTATCTCGCCTTTCTGATTCTTACTTTGACATCTTCATCCGTTCCACCTGTAATTGAAATCATGTCTCCTAGATAAGTGAAGGCGGGAAGTGACCTCTGTTAAATCTCTTCCGTTGATGGTGATTGGTATATATATATATATATATATATATATATATTCATGAATTATGAATGGTTTAATGTTGAGGAGACTATAATTAGTCACTAACTAGTTGGATGTATCTAGTCCTTTGTTTGGTGCAGACTGAACTCTGTCAGTCAAGTTTGCAATGAGGCTGACGAGTGCTAACTAGTACGAAACCTAAGTCTTAGGCTTCTTACCGATTGGTAGATTTTTCTACTAGAGAATAGTTGAAAATACAAAAAGACTACTAAGCTTCTGTTTCTGTACTCTACACGCGTACATACGTCTGGTATTTTCTGACTGTGTTCAAGACCATCATGTCACTTAAAGAAAGGGTTACTGTTTATTCATGATAAAGTCCATCTTAAAATCAGTGAACTTCTCATAAGGCAAACAAGCTAATTTCAGTCTGATACTTGCTAGTGACTTGCTACAGGACGGAGTTTCCTGGAGTTCTAGTGAGAAGTTGTGACCAGTGAGGTCCTTTCAGTCAAGTGTGAGGATAGATTTCCCGCTGATGACATTAGTTGGTGTCAGTCGCGCTAAATCAAGAATTAGTAGGAGTCAGAATTCATGGGCTGACCCTGGAATTGGGTCTCAGTGGTTTGATGGTATACGAGCTTGCATTGTAACCGGAAGGTCCTGGGTTCGAACCCTAGCGATGATTCCCAAACTAGGATGCAACAACTGTCCAGTACTCCCTAGCGGATCTCAATAGTTCTCTAACTGATATCAATTCGTGGTCAAACTCGAAAAACAAACCTAGTCCGTAGAAATCAATTCTTTATCATTTCAGTACATTACCCATCAGGAGAGTCCACTGTCTCCTTGGATATCGGATGACGACGACTAAGCCTTATTTCTAATTTATTAGCATTGGATTTGAAGCAGTGGGGATTCCTCGATGAGATCATATTGCTGATAATTTCCAAATTGCAGTCAAAAGCGTTGGTTGCAGCTCTTTGATTTCACTGATTCAACATCTGAATTCTATTTAAGAAGTAAAATATTGAAAGTAATCGAATCCTGATAAAGTTGAATTTTCTTTTTGGACTCTTTCTACATACACATTAGGAGTGAACTCACAGTAAATCTCAATTGTACTGTAAATCTAGGTAGTTCACCAATTTGTGATAATGTGAAATTTAAACAAACTTGAACCGGTTTGGACAAATTAAATTATCAGTCTACGGCAGAATACTTGTCATAATGTGGTCGGGCAGCCTAGAAGTCTGACCATATGCAACCCATATAGTTGGTTATCTGCTGGCTTAACATTCCGAAGTACATGATATTTGAATAGAATTTATCTTTGTTTGTTTTTTCCTTCACGTTCCCAGTGGAACATAGAGCCTCAAGCTAGTGGCTCGAAGTTTCTGTAGCATTGTTTTTAATTTTACAGGATGGGGTTGGTAGCCTCATCCGCAACCTTTCCTCTTTACCAGTATTATTTCTGGCTTGGCGAGGTAAAGGAGTGCGTTGGTGGCCGATGATCAAACCCCGGACCATGTGCATGGTCGGCGAGCGTACTAACCGACGCACCGGAAAACCTGGGAGTACTGTACAGCTGTTTCACCTAGTTTGGGACTCTTCAACAGTACGCACCCACCGAGGTTCGAACCCAGGGCCTTTTGGTTACAAGGATAGCTCGTAGATCATTGAGCCACTGGGACCCGATCTTTGTATTCTAGAATCAAATTGTTCTCACTAGCATGGACCAGTCTGTCTTCTATCCTTATGTGTATGGACTCTGGGATGAGAAGTAAAATCGGTGATCAGTATTAGAAAAATCAGTGGAATTATTACATCACCACCGATATAAAATACTAAGTAGAACTAAAATGTGGATGAGGCTTGGTGCTCAAGTATGGTGTGCCAGCTGTAGAGTCCCCTGAACTCATCACTAACATTTAGGCTAGACAAATGTATATGAAAGCAAAGAATTCAGCGAAGAAAATTCTTTCTAAGACAACTTCATTTTCATGGCTGTACAATCGTATATATATATATATATATATATATATATATATATATATATATATATATATATATGAATTACAATAGACAATAATATTCATTTTTGTGTTTGTGTGTGTGTGTGTGTGTATTGAAGTTTGACAGTGAGTGGAAATACTAAAGTGCGATAGTATTGGTGTGTAGGATTATGAGTTACAATTAATTAGATACATGAATGAATAAAAGTCAATCTGAACGAAGAATATTCTTTTCAATAATTTCTCTTCAGGTTCTTACAATTATGAAATAAAATATTTGTGGTCGTTACAATAAGGCCAGTTATGCGCCGGATACATTTTTAACGTAGAATAACAGGTTAGCGGTTATGCGGTGTCAATATAAATAGTCGTATTTGAGTGTGACAAACGTGCTAGGCTGAAATCGATTAGAAAATATTGTAAAACGGGAGACAATGGTGATGATTAATCATAATAGATTTGTAGAGTGTGGGTAGGAAAATTGACAAATCAGTTCAATTAAAACAATTAGTCCCTTTGATAAATTTGAACAAGGCATTAAGAAGACAAATTTCGCGAGATGATATCGTCATTTCGTAGTTTCTTTACAACCGCTTTACAACTAACATGGTTAACAATGATAAAATAAAGTTCATGAAAATTACTCAGTTAAATAAAAACAAAAGTACATACTAATGACCAATCATATTAAGATAGGTCATGCAGTCCAGGGTAGGCGAAGATTGAAGTCTATTGATTTTTGTACACACAGTTTAGGCTGTATGTGATTAATCCAAAGTGCTTCCATCACCTTCAATAACCAACCTTGAATTAGAGTTATGTGAAATAATTGTGAAACAGTCATTAATATTTATTTTGTGACCAGACATTAATAAGTGTTTTGCAATGGATGATGCTGGATTTCTACTAAGATTAATCGCGTTAGGATTTTCGATATGCTTTACTAGCCATTTTGGAATATGTTCTTTTCGACGACATTGGAACATTCTGTTAGTTCTACCTATATAGGTGTCACCGCAGCTGCAGGTGAACTTGTAGATACAGTTTGAAGTAGAGTCCACAGAATTTCGTCCTTTAATCGTAGGAACAGGGATCGAAAATGTTCGGCAAGTGAGAAAAAGAGATGTGGCGGCGTAGAATGTGCGTTTGATGGCTGATCGAAGTCTTTGAGTTGTCAACTGCATAATCTGGTCGCCCTTGAATGGTAGATTAATAAAGATGGCTTTCTTTGGTACAGAAGCTGTCTTTTCGAGATGTGGTTTTTCTTTGCTGTGACAAGTGATAAAGCTCTCCGGATAACCATTAGCTAATAAAACTGAATGTACATGTCGAAGCTCATCCATCAGTGTGTCACTCGTGCATATTTTTCGGGCCCTTGAGAACAAACATTTCACTAGGGAACGTTTATACTGGATAGGAACAAAACTGGTAAAATGAAGATATTGTCCAGTCCATGTTTGTTTACGAAAAATAGAGCGCTGAATCGTTCCATCATTTCTCCTAATCATAGTAATATCCAGGAAACCGAGTTTGTTATTCGATTCTAGTTCGGAAGTCACTCGAATATTTGGATGAATATGATTAAATAGAGTAATGAAGTTTTCAATAGATTTACTATTATTACCAATAATAAGAGTATCATCAACATAACGTTTATACAGCATAAATCCTCCAAGCATACCTTGCATTTGTTTCTCTAATTTCGACATAAATATATCTGCTAACAGGGGCCCCAGAGGGCTCCCCATCGCAACACCATCGATTTGTTTATATGCCTTTTCTTGGAATGTGAATCTAATATTTTCTGTACACATTAAGATTATGTCTTTGATGTAAGTGACGGGAATGGGTAAGTTTATGCCGTTGCTTGTGATGTAATCGCAAATAAAATCAACAGTTTCATGAATAACATATAACATACGAATCAAATATGAATGAATAACTAAATAATAAATAGAGGTCAACCTAAAGTTCATTGTACAAGTGTAAAGCAGATCATCGGCAAATAAATTACACTCGGAAATGTGAATATGTGAAGATGATATTATGGAGACGACATAAGATGAGTGAAATTTTTTCAAAGTAGTTGACTAGATAACAGTGTTAGAATATGATAACATAAAGTCATCAAGTGGACAGAAATGATGCCTTCAAAGTTATCTATCACATTCTATCGGGCCTTTCGAACAGAATTTGAACCCACTATGGGAATTAATTCGAGAGAACAATCCTAGTCTTTGCATACAATAAAAGAAGTTTGTTCTACCTTTGTCCCTTCATTGGCCTTGGTAAAGTCTAACTTAACCCCCTTCCCACCCTTTCTTATTTTTCATGATACTTATTTAAACTTTGATTATCTGTTCACTTCACCTTTAGTGTTACGTAACTTTTAACATATGACCTAATTTATTTATTGAATTGTCTATATATACACATATTACTACCATCGTTATTCTTCTTATCGCCACCTGCATAAACCTTATTATCAATATTTTGTTATCATTATAATCATCGTTATTAATGACGTTCAAAACATTTACCACATTATTATTAATACTATTATTACTATTATTCGATCCACAAAATCACCGTCATTGGTTAAAATTTTTTCTATAGAAATCTATGTAAATTAGAGTAAAGCCTGAAGAAGATCTAATTAAAAACAACAATATTAGTCGCTTATATTTCTTGTCCTAATATTAATTAATGGGAATATTTAAAGATTTGAAATCATCAAGCTCTAATTACTACGGAAACATTTGTCTGAATGGATAAATTTGTTCAGGGGATTAGAAATCACCAGCTGGACAGTGTTTGTTTTGACTATATCACAAATTGGATCGTAGGTACCTATCGGTGATATAAATTCAATCGATCTACCATAAACCATCAGTGGTTAGGACTCTTGCAGACCATGCGCATGGTCCGGGGTTCGATCCCCTGCCGACGCACACCCGAGATCAATGTTCGGCCTGCAAGATTTGGACTACCGATATCATATGCTGAAAATCCCATACTTGTGCCGAAAATACTGTGTGGTTTCAAGGTAGAATAAAAAAATGAAATAAATAATATTCATATATGTATATACCGAATCAGACGTTCAACTTTCAACTACTGACTCGTGTTTTCGAATTCCGTTGCCCTCTCCCTACCAAATTTTTGCTCACTCAGGTAGTATCAATAGTATTGAAACAATAATTGTGACAAAATGCCAACTGCATGGAAATTGAAGTGGTTGTTGGATGCTGAGGGAGAGAGAGAGAAATATGAAAACAGCCTATGATGTTTGTCATTTCTAATCTTTTTATGTATATATTTTGTGAGATAAAATACATTGACAATAATATTAGCCTCACTCTGGAAATTATGTTCACACACACACACACAATACAGAATTCTCAGAGTAACTTCTCGCAAACTACCTGCGCCATGTATAGAATCTTCAAGTTAAACATTCATCGACAGTCCACCGTATGTGATGCAACGTCATTCTATCTAAAACAATATACTGAGTCTCCTACGATGACACGTGCTCCCTTCATTTTCTTCTTGAAACGCACAATAGTTGGTTGGAAGTCAGCTAAAAGTTTGCGTGGATGTATGTTGCCATTTAAGGACATAATTGGAAGATTTAAACAAAAAGAAAGGGAGAAAAGTAGATACATTATGGTAACGGAAACTTTTTTTTAGCCCCGTGGTTTGAAAAGACCGCCAGAATTCTTCAATTATTGAGGACTGAATTCTACATTGCTATTAATTGCTTTTTTTAAAACGGAAATTTAAACTTCATAGTTTTATTAGTCAATATTTGTTTTCTTAATGCGTCTTGTCTTTTTTTGTGTGCGTAGTCGTTTGGCATTTGGTGATATGAACCATGAATGGGTTGGCAATGTATGGCTGCCTAGCCTCGGATTGGCTCAATATCGTCCAGCTTTTATGGAGTGTTTAGTCGACTCACGTATGCTTGACCATCTGACAAAACGTGATCTACGAACTCATTTAAAAATGGTTGATAATTTGCATAGAACAAGTTTACTATATGGTATTGTCTGTTTAAAACGCTTAAATTATGATCGACTGGAATTGGAGCGTAGACAACGTGAAGCTGCACATCCTGATAGCATTGGTAAGCCCTGCTTTATGTTACTTATAATAAACTTTAATGTTGACGGGTTTTTTCTGTACAACGAAGACTGTTACATATTTCTATTGATCTGTTTCCGTATTACTAGTGTATATACGATAAAGTTCAATCGGTAATAACTTGGCGTCATGCATAAATACATAGTACTATATACTACTGATTGGTTGAAATGAGTAGTTGTATACCACTCATACCAACCACTAGTACTTGCTAACCAGATCAGAGTGATCTAAACACAGGACGGTTGTATCGTTCGTTTGGGTGGAGCTCTTCAGTGACGCACCCAGTTTAACCCAGCTAAGAGCACCTAATCAGTTCAAATCGCCTGATTCCTGTCCGTCAATGTTGAATTTCAAGATAGATTTTGCCGAGAATTAAAATCAGTTAGAGAAACACTGAAATCAGTGAGTGGTGGACAGCTATCCGACGTTAGTTTAGAATGAAGTCTACTCTAAAATCAACCAACCCCCTTCAGGGTTTTTAACCCAACATGAACGATTAAATTATGATATCAGGTTTAGTCACGGATTGATATCATTTAGAGAACCATTAGAAACCAGGGATTAGTGCACTGTTAGGGATTCATCGGTAGTGTGAACCAGTGATCCCACTGGGTATTGGATACCAGAACCTTCAGGTTTCGAAGCGAACTCATTGAACATTCGACCAGCTGGACGGAATTCACTGACTAGCCCATGAATTCTAACTCCCGTTAATCTCCGATTTTTAGTGCCAATGTCATCGGCGAGTACTTTTTTCTTGAGCTTAACACTCCCTGGTTTTCAAATATTTTCTGCATAACATCAATATGTAATTGCACTTGGAACCAGTCAAATTCCTACAAACTAACACTTGAGAAGTGTGATATTTTTTTGACATACTCCTCACATTAATGAGTCATCAAGAAGCTTAAAAATATTGTGTTGTTCACGCGTAAATGGATAGTAAATTATATCGGTTAAATTTACAGTTAGGATATTCTGCACTTCGAGATGACCTTCAATAGATTTGACTGAGAAGTCATTGGGAAACTGCTTTAACACTACGGTGTGCAATGCCAAGCCTTTATCAACCTCATTAAACAGCTGGCTAATGACAATTCCATGTGTCAGGTGATCCACAACGGAAAACTCAGCGAGGCGTTTGAAGTGAATACAGGAGTAAGACAAGGCTGCCTGTCTGCCTGTTATCACCGATGACATTCTTAATTGTGGAGTGGATTATGAGGAAGACTGAGGGGATCGAGGAGACAAGAATACGCTGGACGACGACAAAGCCGTCGAATGACATTGCGCGCAATGCAGTCCGTATTTCGAGTGGAATGACAATGGGAAACGACGAGTGGGTCGTCGGTGCGAGGATGACATAGACGAGATCGTGTGGCGAGGAGGAGATGAGAGATAATGGTCAATCGTGAACCCATCTGAAGACAACGGCAGAGAATAGAAGAAAGTGGAGATGTGTTGTTGAAGCTTTATGTTCCACTCATAACCCAAGGGAATAATAATAATATTGTGCACCCTTTTATTGATATAGCATGGTTGGCTGCACTGATTTCTCCTTGTTCCTTTAGAAATCATCATTCTCTTTAAAGGTTAAAATACACCTTACTGATAAGTACTAATGAATCAACAATCTAGATACCAGGGTCTTGTGACCGACTAAATGACTTACTAACTGACTGAATCTTCAAAGTGAAGCTTCCCACAGAAGTGCGACACTTCCAGTTGCCTTAAATTATGCAACACATTGACGTACTAAGTTAAACTGTTGTGTAACAGGAAACAAAATATGATTGTGAACAGTATAAACAAACTAGAAATATCTCCTACCCCCTTTCTCGTTGCCTTGACTTTAAAGACACATCACCTAACTGGTTAACTCTTTGACTGACTGTCTTATCAGTGTGGAATTGTACACAAAAGTGTGGCAGTTCAAAGAGAGATGCATTTAAAAGTAGAAAAAATGAGTGGTAATAAAACTGCAATGAATGAAGATGTCTTGGAGTGAGAAAGCATAATCGGATGAAGATCTAATTATACTGAAGCATTGATTTTTGTGACTGATCACAAACGGACTTAAGTTAAAGAACCCTTGAAAGTCAGGGAGCACTACTCAGGTTTTTTAACCCTTGTTTAGAACTCTTCAGCAGCACATACTGATAACCCCCTCGGAAAGTTGAACCCAGGACCTTTTGGACTCGATGCTTCTTCGTAGACCATTCAGGTCTCACTTCTGTGAAGTCATGATATATAGCACTACCGTTAGCCAATAGCATCGACTAGTATTTGTCCTCACATCCAACTTGGTCTACCCACCTGAAATTCAGACAACTTCAAATCCACTACTTTAAAATTGACTTTCATATTCAATACTCTTCAAATTAAAAAAATATTTACTCCTTGGCGAGGTTCTAGGTTCTATCTAACCTTTATATGGACTATACTACTGTATGCTTATGCATTTTCTAACATTTATCATACTACAGTGGTTAAAGTGAGTAAACCAAATCAAAGTACAATATAAAACGACCAATAACTAATGACCAATAATTCTATTATTGGAGAGTAGCATCCTTTTTGAGTGTCATAACTTCAACCTCTAGTGTTATAGCAAGAAAAAGTATGATGCCTTTTTCTCTCTCTCTCTTTCCTCTTTTGTTTACATTATCAAATCAATTGCTATCAAAAATTGACACCATATGACTAAACAACAAAAAAGGCAAACATCTAACATGTGTGTGATTGACATAATTCTAAATGATTAAATGCTTCTTGTTATCTGACGACTACTGCATTGACTAACTAACCTTTTACTTACTGTGCCTTTCCGTCATCAATCATAATTATCATCTATCTATCTAGTTGAAAATGTGAAGTTATCAAGATTTCTAAACAATCATTCCCCTCCCCTCTCATCCCATACCCTGCCTAATCGCCCCTCCCCCGAAAAAACAGCAAAACAAATATGTCAAGTTATGATATTTAGACAAACGTGTGTTCATCCTATGATAATAACAATAATAATAATACTGTTGACTTGTTTGTTAGATTACAGATTGTACAGACATAATGCTAAAGTTAAACTCTTCTGTGATTTCTTGACTTGAATAAAGTATATATATTACATCCTCTCTGGGATTGATAAATTATATTTGGCAATCCTCTGACTAAGTAAAGAGAGATTCTAAAACAAGTGTCATATGCCAATCAAGTTCTTCGGTTGATAACATGATTATTACATATTTTATCCTTGTTACTCTATTAATATTTCTATGGGTTCTAAATGGGCAAAGTTCAACAATAGCATCCCAAGGGATGCAAACGCATGGGTGTCCTTGAGCCGGCCAGCCAATCATAAAAATGCGGAAATTTTGCCTGAAAAATGACGTATATTTACAAGAAAATGCATGGAAACACACTAAAATGTTTATCTTTCTCTCTGACATGACTTAAAAAATACATCCAAGTTATAATAAGGAGTTTCGGTTGCTAAGTTAGACTAGTTTCTGTACATGTATTCATTCATCGAGGTGACAGAAAATGAGCTGGTTTTGTGAACCGTTCATCTCTCCTATCCTGTTGTGCGGTCTTCCTTAAAGAAGTTCTCGGCTGAATTACTATTGCTTCCAGTAAGACGGTCGACTACTTATCAGGAAACTGTGGATAAGGAGACATTAAAGTGAATGGCATTAACTCTAAATCTATCCCTAGTCGTAACCTTAAACTTAACACTAATCCTAACCCTAATTGCAACCCTTATCCTAACCGTAAACCTAACCATATTCCTAATTATAAACCTAATCCTAACCCTAACCCAATACTTACCTTGACCCTAATTCTAACACTAGCGAGCTACTTACACATTGTCAAAACAGTACTTAAAACCGTGATCTGAGTGAAATTTCCTGGTTATTTGGCAAATAGCATTGATATTTCAGCATTGATAATGACAGGTGCCGTCAGCTAACGACTAGCATGCGTTCAAGGCTATTGGAGCATTCGCACTTTTGGGACTGTATTGTTGAACTTCGCCTCTGAGTGGAGCATATACAGCTTCAACCATCACATCTTCGTTTCACTTCCTTCTCTGCAGTCTTGTTTTAGCTGGCTTCACGATTGCCTATTAGCGTTCTTCTCTTCCTCACGTGATCTCTTCTTCCATGTCACCCTTTAACCCATTAACTTGCACAGCATCGAACGTGAAGTAATTTGGAGGCTGTTTCAAAACTACACAGACTTTGGAGGAGGAGTGAGATTACAGGACTAAGTTAGACCGAAGAAGAAGATTCTAGAAGATCAGGACTTTTTGGATGATTTATGTTTCATGTCTTAGAAACTCGAAGGCCTATAGGCGAAGACCAGCAAACTGGCAAAAGAAGTGACAAAGACGGGATTTGAATTGAAAATAGAGAAGATGGAGTTATTGAAAATAGTCAAGCAACACCATTAATGGGAGATATTTGGAGGAAGTTATTTCTTTCATTTCCTATCTGCATGCACCATTGTTTCAACTACATTATGCATTCCGCACAGATGAGGATGTCAAAGGTAGAATCAGAAGAGCAGGTCAGACCTTCATTAATCTGAAATCATTGTGAAAATCTGCTGCACGTCACCTGAAACATTTCCAATAAGCTGAGGCAGTCTTTCACTAACAGCTGTCTTCACTTCAGACTGAATACGAGATGGCCAGAAAGGATTAGCAACAAAACTTTCAGTCAACGAACTATCTAAAAAACCTATTGCACAAGAAATATTCCGAAGAAAATGCAGATAGATTGGACAAATGCTGGAAAAAAACCGTTAGGTGGCATCACTAACAAGACCATATAGTAGTTTACGCTGAATGGTAAACGACGAGTCGGGCGTATATTTGAGGGTGACATGGAGGGAATCGTGCGGGAAGGAGATGAAAGACTATGGGTAGTCGTGGAGCCAACTAGAGAGGATGGCAGAGAATAGAATGAAATGGATATGTGCTATTGAAGCCCCGAGGAAACAATAAGAGTAATAATCGAGTGGGTTTGTTAGTCTCACAAGTAACATTCCCTGTTTACCGGGATTGTCATCAACTATGCGTGGTTAAGGAGTTTAGTGTAATCGTATGTTATCGTATGATTCGATGTTATACATAAACAATTAACATTGTCAATAATAATTATTCTTTTGCTATTTTTGTGGATGCATATAACTGTAGAGCCTCGTGATCAATAACGTATATCGAGAACAAATTGTTTATTTAATTAAGGTGTTTAGAAATTGTTTACAAGTAAATAACAGCAACAGCAGCAACAAAAAATCTTAGATTGTATTTTGAAGAAATTTTAATATTTACAGAAGCTAAAACTTTGTGTTATTTAGTTATTCAACGCTAGCAGTAAAAATCTAAAAATCACACTTCGTCCTATTTAGGACTCGTCATCTGGATGTACCCGCATCTCTAGTAAGTGATAGTGTTTCCCACGCTAACGACCATCGTTTCAAATACTGAAGCGTTATTGGCGAATTCTAGGTATCATAGCTAAAACCCAGTGACCTTGAACAACCAATCAGAATTCAGATGCTAAAAAAAGTCGAATAACCGTTAAAAAAGTGTATAAAAACATTGTGAATATGATATCACACTGGATAATTGTATCTCTTATGTGTTGTAAGAATGTCTCACAGTAACTCCAAAAATAATCCGTAGACAAATTGTATCATGAGCGATAGATTTATTCATGCAAATGATTGTAGATCATGGCACTTTGGGATCCACTGACGTTCTTCAGATGGTTCTTTGACCAACCCCTAACCCTAAGCCTTAACAGAAAAAAGTACCTGGGGAATAAGGAAAATGCTGCACCTGCGTTCACAAACGGATTTTCTTTTATAAAATCATTTGATTTGGAATGACGTTTCTCAGCACTCCCTAAATCCGACTGGTTCTTGAAAGTCAGATTTTGATGGACTTTGACTTTGGTTACTTTAACCTCGCCACATTGTCCACTAGGCCGCTAGGCCATGAGATTCAAATCTTGTGCAAGGATGTTGTTTGTCTAAGTTATTTCGTATTTCCTAGTTGGGTCGAAGCACTCCATAGCCTACTTGACAAAAGAGATCGAGCATATTTCTCTAATAAAATTGTGTCGATTGGAAATAAAAATCAATATATGTTTTTTTTAATTATATTTATCATTCTTTTGAGTTCTGAGTGAAACCTAAAGCTTCCTTAGAACAGCCCCATTCCATCTGTTCTCTGCAGTCCTTCTTAGCTGGTTCCACGATTGCCCAAAATCTCTCACCTCGTCGTTCTCCATTCGGGTTCCACTCGAGGGCCTGTTTGGCGTGTGATGACACTCAATGGTCTCTCCAACGTGTGCCCAAACTATCTCCATTCACTTCGGCACATTTGTTAAGCCTAGTTTAGTAGCCGGAAAAACAGGAAAGGTTGAGCTTGGAGCTAACGATCTTCCTCCCAGAAAATCAATCCACTCACTACAAAACTTTAAAGTACAGTAAAAATGTGAAAACGCAACTTGAACATAATATATGAACCATTTCGTTGAACATTGAAACATTCTTGATTTGCTTATTTTTCTGTTTTAATTGATGAATAGATTTATTAGTTTGGTCCTGTGAACGTGTTCAAGCTTGGCTAGATGAAATTGGTCTTAAAGAATATGCACCAAATTTAAACGGGTCCGGTGTACACGGTGGTGTGATTGGCTTACATCCTGATTTAAATGCTCAACAATTAGCTTTAACACTTCAAATTCCTACATCGAATACAACAGCTCGTGCTACACTAGCTAGAGAGTTAACTCAACTTGTCCAACGTTTTCGTGCTAATGTGCCTATTGCAGCAGCTAGTATTGGACCAGCTCCAAGAGTACTGGCAATGGAAGCTGCTGCTGTCGTTGCAGCTAACAGAGCTCGAGCACAATTTGATAATCAAGATATTTCTTATCCTGATGATGGATTCAATGAAACAGCTGTAAGTTGCTTACTTTTTCCAAAAGCTCTTTTAAACTACTTTATCAAGATGATGAATGCACTGTGTAACTGGAAATGTAGTTGAATTGGCTAAAGTACTCGGTTTTCAACTAATGGGTCATGGGTCCGAGTCCCACTCCAATTACTTAAGCTTAGACAACTGGGTAATATCATCAGTCCTCACACGTTAAGTATGGCTCTTAGCCTTAAATTAGTTTCAATAAAATCAAAATCTGCTGAAGACCAGAGAGTATACTGAACAGTGAACCGCTGAGAAGTCATGTAGTAGGTCGAAACACAGCTGTACAGCTATAGTTGTCAACCTGATTTAGGTTAGTTGTGTAAAAGTGAAGTCTTCTTACGTGATATTTTTTAAAGTTTTCTAATGACTGTGTGTTGTAGCAAACTCAACCTAGAATCAAATTCCTTGTTTGCAAATAGCACAGTCTATACTGAGAAATATTTATATCACAATCTGTGGTTTGCTTTATTCCACTAACTGCCATTCAAGAAAGCAAGCGAAATAACATGACAGTATATACTACTAGCCGACATGAGTAGTTGGAAGCCCCTGATGTCAGGCTATGCTGCCTATTAGTTAGATAGGAGCTATCTAAATACTGAGGGAAAGTTTCGCTTGTTTGGACGGAACTCATCAGCAATTGACTCGCTTCGATTGATTTTAACTGGTTTACCCTCTCTGAGCTGAGTACATACGATCAAACCCGATTATCTTAAGGACGTTAGTGTTCACGGGTATTTCTGATTAGGTTCCAACCTAGTTCCTAAAGCAAATTTATAGAGAAACAGAATAGGAGATTGTATCAAAGGAAGTTGCGTCTTAGCACATACTGTTGACTACTACTTTTTTGGTTGGAGATTTTCATCATGAGCTGACATCAGCCAGAGGACCATTAGGAAACCCGCAGGGAGTACTGGACATCTGTTTCGTCAATCTAGTTTGGGACTCTTCACAGTACGCACCCGCCGTTAGGGTTTGAACCCAGGACCTCCTGGTTACAAGGCGAGCTAGCTCGTTGACCATTAAGCCACTGGGACCCAATCCAATGGCCAGCCCATGAATTTCACTTCTGCCATTTCATGGCATAGCGCGATGACTTCCCAGTGTCTTCTTCGATGAGTTACTGCCTCACCTTCACAGATGTCCAACACTCCTAGGCTTTCCAATGGTTCTCTAACTGATATCAGCTCATGATGAAACCCTCCAACCAGTCAAACACAATTCCTACAAAACCGACACAACTTTTTTTCTTGCGGTTCTTATACGAACAGTAACTACTTTACAAAAAATAAACACTGAGAACTCTGTATTATTTAGGGTGGGGATTAAACTCCAAGACTCTAAACAAATGAGCCAGCCAATCACATTAAAAGTTCATATTTTTGGTAAATAGTTATTGAAGCATTAAAAGAAAGCTGAACAGGATAAAATTCTTTGAAATAATTTAAAGATACTTCCAAATTGCTTATAAGTTTTTTTGAATGGGGGAATTCAAGTCACACTCTGTAGAATGTACTCATCTAAGTGACTGTAGGCAATGTTGTGTTTGAGTCCCGTACGTAAATGGCTCTAATCCTACACATACATATCAGTCTCTCTTCAAATCCATCTGTGGAGTTCGTGTGAATTCTTGTGTTTGGGTCTATGAAACCTGTAAAGCGATTGACTCTGTCAAAGAATCGTCTCCTGTGTAATTTCTTCCATGTTTTATTAATCCTTTGTTTCATAAATATTATGCTTTCTTCTTTAATTCAATTTTGATTTTCCTGTTGATTGATTGGACCTAAATGCTCGAAATGTCTTCGCGGAGACGCTCCGACGACTTCTGAGGACTAACTTGGAGTAATTTGGTGGATAGTGACTAGCAATGGAACCCAACGAGGATGTGCATTTCTTCCTATCTGGGACTCAGCATCTGGATGTACTTGTATCTCACAGTGAGCAGTGGTAGTGGTGTTCCCACTGAGACTCAAACCCAGTACCCATGGTTTCAAACGAGAAAATCCAAAGTGAATTAAAGGTAATAACTGACACCTGTTGTACAAGAGATGGCACTCGTGGTCCAACAGATAATGCTTTGGCATTTAAAATAATAGGTACTGGGTTCTAGCCTCAGTGAGAACACCACCACCACCACCAATCACTGGGGAATGCAGGGACGCATAGCTGGTTTTTTTTTTTTTTTTTTTTTTTTTTTTTTTTTTTTTTTTTTTTTTTTTTTTTTTTTTTTTTTTTTTTTTTTTTTTTTTTTTTTTTTTTTTTTTTTTTTTTTTTTTTTTTTTTTTTTTTTTTTTTTTTTTTTTTTTTTTTTTTTTTTTTTTTTTTTTTTTTTTTTTTTTTTTTTTTTTAAACGAGTCCCAGATAGGACGAAATTCACATCCTAGCTGGATTCCACTGTTAGTCACCATCCACCAAAATACTACTTTCTTACTGAAGATATGTCCTTTCTGCATGATAGTTCAGCTGGAAGTCATTGGTGCACTCGTCTGTTTTTTGGGTCTTATAGCTTGACTTCGTTCCTGTATGTGAATATATATATATATATATATATATATATATATATATATATATATATATATATATATATATATTATCCAGAACAAAGCTATCGTTATTGTTATCATTTCTTACAGATAACCAGTGACGGGGATGTTATCGAGCCAACAGAAGATCGAGCTACGCCTACAAATACATCTGAACAAAGTCAAACAGATACACAACGAACACAATTAGAATTATCCAATTCTAATTCTGATAAAAGTATTGCTAACAGTAATAAACTGTCAGATGTTTCAACAACTGCAAATCTAGACGCTAACACCATTAACAATAATATTGTAAACAATTCTGCCCACGGTAGTGGTAGTAGTAGTAGTAGTACTCCTACCACTACTTCAGCTATTCCTGGCAATCAAGGTATTACAACAACAGCATCACAGAAGAAACGAGCTCCTCAGGTACCTAGTGTGACTACAGCCTCATCAATGAATAAATCAACTACTTGAAGCGATTTTATAGTATTTATATATTCATCATTATGCCTCAAAATGAATCACACACATACAACACTGTGAGAGAGTATTTTTATTTCTAATTGGTCGATGATGTCTCGCTACAGTTACGACTACTACTTTGGAATAAAATCAATTAGGGGACAACAATACAACATAACTGTGATGTTTTAATCACTGGAAACACTGATCTAAATAGTATGTATACATAAAATTGGAGTAAAATCTCTCCGTTTTTATTCCTTCTCTCTGTCTTCTGATATTTCGCCCTTCTGTTCAACTGTTTATTATCATCTTAGCGCACAATAATGATCATTTTTTTCGCAGAATTAGAGGTACATTTTGTAACTTCTCTGTTTAATAATATTTCTCATTAATTTTGTTTTTAGTTTATGCCATCGATTTTTGTACCTACCTAGGTGCTTTACTTTTCTCCTTATCACTTTTGCATTAAGTTATTATATTTTCTGTTGTTGTATAGAAGAATGTGCGGGAGGGGGGGGCGATGCTGTGTTGGGATGTGTGCTAATGTCGAGGTGTGACAAGATAGGCTAGGGTAGGGATGGAGTAGGGTAAAAACGCTATAAATATTATATAACCCAGCCTATCTTTATAGTACACTCCATACTTAATTACCGCTGGTAGTCCCGTGTTCACCTCATATGATACATATATGTGTGTATTTCCACGGTCCCCACCTGCCCCCGCCCTACTCTATCCTGTCCACAAATCCTCACTGCATACAATAATTCATCTCAATTGAATATTACAAAAGGAGGAGAGTGGGGTGATTTCAACGATGATGATGATGATGATGCATAAAGGATGTGTGTGTGTGTAATAACTTTGTGGTCTTTCACAACAAATTAGGATTGAATCTTTCTCTGCATTCATCATCTTTACTAATCTTATTACTTCATTTTCTTCACTGTACACTTTATTATTTTGTTTATCTTTTTTGTTTTCTCAATGCCTTTATTATTCATTAACTTCTTGTTATTACAACATTTATGACAAGAGTTAAATAAGGGATAGTTAATAAACAATTAAAAGAATTAAAATTATACTACTACTGTTATTATTACTATTATTATTATTGTTATCAGTAGTATCGCTAGAAGTCTTATAAATACATAATGTGAATACATTTATGAGTGAGAATAAATCGCACAAAACTCATAAATCAGTGGTATGATTTCAACGGATCTATGCATGTCTTTGTTGTGCATTTTTCTTCCAAAAAACAATAGCAAATTCCTGCCCCCCCCAACCCCTAATCTTTCGTTTGCCTTCTTTTTTTGTCCTTTTGATTGTGAATGAGTTCTGGGCTTATCTACGACCTTCTTTTCTTCAGGTTTTCCCTAGGGGTTTTTTTCGTCGAAGCGGGGCGTTTTAATTTCTTCGCAGTCTTCTTTCAAAATGAAAAAAACAAACAAAAAACAACCAAACAGAGAAAACGAAATCAACGAAATAATTGTAGACACCAACCTGTTTTTTTCCTTTTCTTTTTCTGTTTGTCTTATCATTTTGTTTTGTTATCAAATGTGAGGCAATTTCAAATCATTGCGTTACCTTGATGATGATGATGGCGGTGATAATGATGAAAAATGTGATTGTTGTGATCGAGATCTTTGTTGGGATCTGTTTTTTTTAATTTTCTTCTTCTTCTTTTTTATGATGATTTCATATTCACATGTCATTTATATTTAGCTTGATCACAGAGACATTTTTAACACTTAAATATGCACATCACATGATTATTATTATTATTATACATCATACATATGCATATACATTTTATAATATTTTGTACATAAAATTATGAATTATTTATTGTCTGCTGATAGGCTTATATTATTTCACTCGTATCTACAATATTGTGTACCCTCCCCCCAGCTCTTTTTTCTTGTCTGTCTGTTTTGTTTGCTTGTGAATATAATATGTACGTGTGTGTGTGTGTATGTATGTTTGTGGAAAAAAGGTGGGCGGAGTGCGGGGGTGGAGGCTCACTTATTGTTGACTAGTACTCCCAATTATCATTATTATTACTATTATCATCATCACTTGTATTACTTGCTCTATTACTACTATACTACTAATTATTATTATTACCATTGCTAATATAGGGGTAATGATGGTGATGATGACATTGGTAATAATGTTTGTAATGAAAATTGTATTACAAGTAAACAAATGTTTGTACATTTGACCTGGTGACAATAAAAAAAAACAACACTTGGTATAGAATTAATTAACCTGTCTGTGTTTCTTTTGTTGCTGTTATTGTTGAATGGATTTATCGTTTGCTTTAGGGGTACTATATTGTGAAGATATAGATAGGGTTGGTGCGTGTGTGGGTAGTTCACGGGTAGAATGGTAGCCAGTCACATATGTGGTCCGAGCTTGATTTCCGATTGAAGTATTGTTAAACCTTGCTTAGTCGGCAGTAAATTCAGCAAAGAAGGAAGGAAAGTGGCTTGGTGTCAGACCAGCAACTACTTATAGTTCAAGCTTGAAGCCCTGTGTTCCACTCGGAAAGTAAAGCAATGGGGAAAAAATGGGTGTTTAGATTACCTTAGGGTGTTAATAATTAGCAGTTGTAATACAAAATTGGTCAGCCTTACATTAGGCGAAGTATATTTGTAACGACAGAAGACAAGGGCCAGGCAACAGATTGTTTATTGAGAAAATCAAGATGTATTTATAGATGTTTATGTACATTACTATTAGCGTGATAATTAGCATACAAGCAACTTCTTCTGACTGGTTGTTTTCTTGCTGAATGTTATACTGTACTGCTTGTGACCATTTCTTAGAAATTCAAGTCATATTGTACCAACAGAAGACAAGAGCCAGGCAACAGATCGTTTATTAAAGAAATCAACACATATTTATAGATTTTCATGTACATACTATAGATTATTGTCAGCAGAAAAACACAGTCCTCTAATTGGTTGCTTCTCACAGAAAGTTAACCTTACATCTCTTTGTGGCTGTTTCTTGAATATTAGATCATCTATATGTTAACTGTATCCGCCTACACAAAGTCTTTGTTCTCATTTTTCTCATGACCAATATTGGGGACATAAACATTGACGTAAATTACTGTCCACCAATTTCGGGTAACACATAGTTCTCACCATAATATATCTACAAATCGTATTTGCACACGTTCACTCTGCTGTGTTTGGTTAGTGGATTCCTTAAGGTTAAGCTTTGTTATTGTTTTTCTCATGACCCCGATTCAGGACTTAAATCATTGTCTACAATTTTGGCCAGCAGACAGCTTTCACTACACATTTACTGAATCGGCAGTAAGACATAAACATGAACTTTCATGCTGAAGTGGTGCTAGTAATTTAATTTAATTTTGATTTACAGCTTGATTCCACACTGTATTTTTTGGTACAAGTATGAAATTTTCAGCATGGATATCGGTAGCCCAAATTTTGCAGGCCGACCATAGATATCAGGTGTCTGCCTGCATTGTGACCAAAGGTCAAACATTGTGTCTTCTTACTGCTAGCCTATATCTGTGGGTCTTCTAAGTACTTGGATGCTGGCTTCTGCAGTAGCCGGATGTAGGAAGTTACAAAAACAACTTTGATGAGGAAAAATATTGTCATCAAAAACACCAAGAAAACTTCTAGAAACCTGGTATTCATTTCAAGAAAAACCCTAGTCAACGGACTGCTTACCTAGGAGGAAAAACGATTGCCTTTCAACAAGCTGTAGAAAATCACTGAAGTAGGTAAAAAATGAAGCGTAACGACGTACTACAACGAAGAGTTTCCAACATGCGCCGAAACCAAATGTGAGGTATAAAAGTCACGTAACAGAAACTGGGAGGAACGTATGCTTTCCGAGAAAAGTAAGGATACTTGCTCGTTACAGTTTTGGTTAGGCTTTCCTTTTCAGACTGCAAGTTTATGAACATTGTCATTTTATCATGCACATAAATAACTGGATCACCTAATCTTTCTGTTGAAACTACTTGATATATCTCTAGGAAACTGGTTAGTTACACGATGTGTATTACTGAATTTTCATGAAATCATCCCGATGTATTTTGGCCTTTTTACTGAAACCCCCTAATACCCACCGGAAGAAGGTGGCGCCACTTTAAAAAAAGGAAGTGCCGTATAACCTAACACAACTCTCTTGCTATTTGAAAATCCACTTGCCTACAACCTGAGGCAATCAGCACAGATAAACAAAATGGACTATTAAAGGCGGAATGTCTGAGATTCAGTTGAGTCGATGAACTTTCTTAATCTCCTAAATATCTGGCAAAATTGATCAGTTTTACTTCATCTGTCTGGTGTCCTAGATAAGTGTCTAGATATAATGAGTATTTAGGGGTCCAAGTCACTTGTTTAATGGTGAACACACACGGTTTGTCCTGTTTAGGGAACGTCAGCTGCATGTAGTTGCTTCTGTCCAAGAGGCGTATATACCCAAATGAAGCTGATCAGTAAGCGGTAGGATATATACAAACAGGAAATCACAAACATAAATGAACAGTTACTTGTAAGTAGTCTATATCAGCTTAGCTGGAGTTTTGAAATTGTTAGATACAGGAATATTTCTTTCATCATGGTTCAAGCAAGTAGTTTTCGAATAAAATCCAGTCAAATAAAGTTACTGCAAAAAGTGATGGTTATATAAATCATACTTGCAGGCAAAAGAGTAAATACTTTTCATATTCGGTTGAGCTTGTGGTCGACTAAACCGCAGACACAATGAGAATACTCAACGTCAGATTGAATCAAAGTAACATAAGATCGCCAAACAGTATATCACAGCCACTAAACATCTAAAACTGTTATAACGTTCAGTTACTTGAAAGGAAGTGGATTTCACTTGGACACTTCTGGGTAACAGTGATAAAAGCTTTTGAAATTTATGAGTGGCGTAAATTTTGCAGTTACAAAGGTGTTTGTGTTCTTCACGTGGAGGGCGAGGAAGTAACTATTCACACATCCACCCTTCCC